TTCTGATAGTTTACCAAAAAATACTTTTTCTTCCTTATGCTAATCCTCCCAGTGCAACCATGATATTTCAGATTAAGAATGAGCCTCTACATACCGGCTGATGGCTTGTTTGGCACTCATGTTACTTGGGAAGATATTGAAGAAGTTATGCAAGAAGAACTGAATACTAACGCTTCGTTTGGACCAAACAAGAAAGCTACGAATATTGGTGAAGGAAAAGTGAGTCATAATAACTCTATAAAGGTCTTACACTGGTTGACATCTACTCCCTCAGTTTTATTGTTCACGAGGCTCTAATTAGGGCTTCATGTCCAGAATCGTGCTCATCGAACCACACTGGCAAAACAAAGACAAGAAACTTCCAGAACGCTTTATTGCTAAGGTAAGATTGGTATAAGTATGGTAAAAAGATTGGTATAAATGTTATGAATGAACATTCTTAAATTTTTATTAACCGTGCATTTCAAGCTTCTCACAATGTTGGCTATGCAGCAAATAACCGAAGGATTGGCAAATATGTCAAAAGCGGTAGAGAACAAATTCAGTATGGAGCAATTTGTACTGATGTACGAGGATCGTCTGAAAAAGGTTTATTTCTTTGATATTCCCCAAAAAACTTCCTAAGATTTGAGTGATTTTTTTGTTATACAACAACTCTACTTTCAGCTTCATAATTCTGAAGTCATACTTTATGAGCATCTGAAAAAGCTCCCAGAAGGAAAGTTTCCCGCCCCACATGTGAGCCTGACTCAAAAAAAAATTTGGAAATAAGTTGTTGTTTATAGTTTAACACTACCATTCAGATATATCATGCCAAGAAATTCTCAGAATCTAACTCTTTGAAAGGATATATTCTAATGGAATACAAAGAAAAGGCCGAGACACTGACTATGCTGCAAAATGTTTCACTCGAAAATATCAAAGAGGTTCACCTAAGTTCCGTTTTTTTTCCTGAAAAAAGGTAAATTAATTATGATAGGTGCTTCGAGCTATAGCAATAATGGAAGCTATGTCGCTAAAATTTACGCCAGAAGAGAAAAAAGAATTTAGAAAACAACATTTTACATGGAACTTCCAGCAAGTTCTGAATAAAGATGTAATTGATTCATAACTTTGTACTACTGCCCATAATCAACCATGTAAAGAGTGTTTTCATTTAGGTTCTCTCCGCTATGATCAAAGCTCCGCAGATGTTCAATATGGCCCTCAATGCCGAAAAATTAGAAAAGTACCTGCCAGAAATCTTAGACCTTGCTTGGGTTGATCAACTCTCGGAAGAGC